TTTATTAAGATTTGAATAACTAAACACGTCAGATCAGTGTAGAGAAATGTTCACATGTAAGGAAGATAGCCTGAAGCAACTTAAGAAGATCTCAATTTCTCACAACGTTTGACCTCATGCTATTTCTGGAAATTCACCTACACACCTGATGATATTTTAATACTGATAATCCAGGCAAATTACTTGTGGTAGAACATAACTTATGGGCAGAAACCTTGCTAAATGACAATTTTAACAAAATAACAAATGCTAAGATTAATAAGGTAGAATATATTAAAAAGTTAGTGACTTCATATTTTAAGAGATTTTTAATCATTTTTCTTATATTCAAAAACATGTTTTAAAGAGTTTTAAAAATTGATTTTAAATAATTACAACATATTGACTTACATAGTCTTGTGTTATACATATGTTGATAAACTGATAAGACAGGTGGGTAAAATCTAATTACTTCATCATTCTTATTGTATGTAAATAATAAAGGCTAGATTCTCTAGATGGCTTGAAGTCATTAAGAGTTTTCATTCTTATCAATCTTTCTCAACAATCTCTATGTAATTCTACTGTCTACACAGTGCAAAATCAATCTAGAACAACCGGACTAGGTCAGTTCTTCTTAAAATATGTGTCACGACCTCATACGGGGTCATGACCCACAGTTTAAGAAGTGCTGAAGGAGTCATGAGTAGAAAACATTTAAGGTCTTCTCTAGGTAGAAGAATAGTTAACATGTGAAATGCTAAACTTCATGAAAGAATAAACTGCAACAATTTTATAATTATGTATTTTATTCATGTAATTATAAGAATCTAGAACAAGGAAACAGACCAAAACAAAAGTATGAAATAATTAAGGTACATTTAAATGTACATACAGGTTTTAAACTTTCATATTCAGCACCTGGAAGTGTAGCAGTTAAAATATTTTAATCAAAATATCACATTTCCCACTGAAAATAAGTTGTTTTTTTTTAGTCACAAAAGACAACATTAATAGACAATGCAACTATGCAACTTCTGTAGTATAACAACTAATGTTTTGCATATGGGGATTCCTTTCAGGTTATGGTTATGTTGACAGGCGCCCTCTCAAATTCTGTGATTCGGTGGCTATATAAACTCAGAATTTTCCATAGGTACTCTCTGGTATTACGAGAATCCTTATTTCATAGGTAGACGGTGAGTTAAAGTTAACTCTGCAAAGTTAGTGAAAGTAGCCTTCTCTCTCAGAGTAATCCAGTGAGCACTTAAGTAAAGTTAATCACAAGGTAATATCTGAAGTCAAAAGAGTAACCAATTCTTTGCCTCAAAATACTCAGAAACAGTCTTAGAATACTGATTAGGAGACTATTGAAATAGATGAGAGATGACAAGGTCCTGAACTAGGGTAAAAGACTGGTGAATGGAGAGGAGACAAATAGAGATGCAGAGTTTAAGTTTAAAAAATTTGGCAACTCCTTAGACATGAGTATTGAAGAAAGGAGACTAAATAGGATGCCTAAAAGGATTTGAACCTGGTTGATTGAAAAGAGAGTGTTACCTTCAACAGAAAAATAGAAGCTTCAAAAAGGGACAGATATTGTGGAGAAAACAAAGTAAGTACCATTTTAGATATGCCGAGTTTTGGACACTTTAAAGCTGGTGGAGGTAACTTTGGAGAGAGGCAGCTGGGTGGATGTGACTAGGAGTGAGGAAGACCTTGACATCCTGGTAAAGTCATTTAACCTCACTATGTCTCAGTTTCCTTTTCAATAAAGTGTAGATAATAATAGCATGAGTTAAGATATGTAAAGTACTCTGTAAACCTTACAGAGCTATGCAAAGGATTATTATTAGTAGCTAGTGTTATCATCAAGTAAATGGTAGGGTAGGAAAGTGAATTACAAAGGCCTGAGAATTGAGTGAAAGGGTAAGAAAATGAAGGTAATGAATACAGACACCACTTTCTGGGACTGTTGTTGTGAAAGAGAATGGAGGTTTATGAGGAGAGAATGGCAGGTTTAAGGGAGAAGAAAACAGAAGAAAACAATGGATAAAGAAAGATTGGAGGTTAGTAGAACAATTGAGAGAGAAAACCAAAAAGAAAAGAGAGGGAATGGAATCAAGGTGCAGATAAAGGAATCCCTTTGACAAGGAGAAAGTCCACATCTTCATCACAGGCTAAACCAATTGAGAGAATAGGGAACGACAAAAAAAAAAAAGGTATTTGAGATGTGGAGAGAAAAGAAAGCTCATACACTGGATGACCTCTATTTTCTCAATGGAGGGAAGAAGAGGTGGTACAGGGATTCTAAAGATAAAAGAGTAACTTGGAACAACTACTGTGGAGTATTAGAGTAGACCAGGAATAAATAAACACATTACCAAACAATGGTGAAGTCCCAGTTGAGATCAGGTAAAATAAATTTGTGGCAGACTCTATCAGCACAGTTGCTTGACTTAGACCAGGAGTGTTCAGGAGCATGTCAGTAGGAACAGAAGGGGGAAATGACTGTTTGGGCTTTGATAAAATATGACTGATAATAGGACATGGAAGTAAGTGATTCTAGGATAGCCACTGGTTCATGTTGAATTGTTCAGTCACAAGGTCCAGATTGCAAGGAAAAGAGATGCCAGAGCAGGGATGATGGATTGGGAGAACAGGGAAGGATAGAAAGTCCAGAGGTCACAAAGAAGATGAATAATAGGTTTAGCAGTGGTAAGGCACAATAAAAGATAAAGAAACAGGGGGCTAAGGTCAGAGTTTTGTATCATGGAGATGAAACACATGGCATGATAATGACAAAGTGATGATGACCATACCTGTTTGTGCTTGAGGTGGAGTGAATATGGAGATCATAGGAGGACGAGGTTGAAGAACTAGATAGTAGACTAGTATGTTTGAGGGGATAATGGATGAATGTATATTGAAATCTTCAATTATAAAGGGTGGGGTTTGTATAGAAAAGAAGACCATGAACAAGTTGCTGAACTCCTTAAGAAAGTGTGTGAGGAGTCTGCAACAAGGAGTTGGATTGGGTGATAAAGATGAAGTGAATCTCAAAGGGAAGGGAGATTGAGTGAGGGTGGTAAAAAGCCAGTCTAGAAGTAAAGTGAAGAGTACACTACTATTAATGACTCACTCTGCTGACACTAATAAAATATTATGGTCACCTGTGCCAGGTAACATCAAGGGTAGCAAAGGCAAGGACAAATAGTAAATACGAGAGACCACATCTCTAATGAGAACACACTCTAGTGGTAGGGAGATACATCTGACGGATAATAAGAAGTGTTACATCAGTGTCTTAAATAAATGACTGCCAAGATCATGAGAATGAGTTATATCCCATGCAGGACCTTATAGGATACTCATTAAACTATTTTGAATGAAGAGAAGAAAGAAAACATTAAGTAGATAAATTGTAAAGGATCAGGGCATTTTATGAAGACAACAGATGCATAGATGATTTCTGACTCCAGAAATATAAAATATATCAAATACGTGAGAATTACCAATCCTTTTTGGGGGTGGGAGGGAAGGAGAGAAGTACTTAATTAAGAAATCTAGGAGGCTATTTCCTTAGTGCTCACTTCTAAGCAAATGGACACTACAGGTTAAAGGGAAAAATAAACCACCTAATTATATACAAAAAATCCAAATTAAGTATATTTTTAAGAGCAAGAGGGAAATTAAAGATGCTAAGTTTTACTCACCTAAGAAGATAAATGTGTAAGTACATTTATTGGAAAGATCAATGGATCAAAGAGAAAGAGACTAGATTGGAGAAATATTTCCTTCAAATCAACTGAATCAATGAAATCAATCCTTTATAAAAACAAATCCTTTAAGAAATAATTGACAATGTCTTAATAAAAAAAGAAAATTCCAAATTAAGATCTTTCCTCTATAGCCCACATTTCCTGATGCTAATCATATATAGCATTTGGCAAGAACAGATTCTACAGGAGAGCAGATGCTCCAGCCACTCTCTTCCAGCAACATCAGGGATATTAGGACTTGGGGAAAAATTAACAAAGTGATCAAAAATAGAATAAAAGATGTTAAGAAGTATACCAATCCTCTCTCTTCCCTGTAAACATCAAATGGCACTTCATGTTATACAGAAGAATCATTTAAAAATATAGACTAACTCTATCCAGTGAAAAGTACTAACAGCTTGAAAAATGTATATCTTGGGGAAGAAATACATAAATCTACATTGGCTAAAGAGGAGGCAGAATGGCCACCAACAAATTGCAGTCCAAGTTGGTCAAGAAACTAAGAAGGTCAATAAAAGACCAATGTAGAATACACTGAATAAAAAAGGACATGTACATCAAATTGATTAAGATGTGTTTAGTACCCATCTTTACCATATTCTTTCCCCTATTACCATGAAAGGACACTAGTCATCTTTTTCTCCTTTGAGTGCTTTCATTAAGATATATTTAAAGCTTCCTTTCATTAAAACAGCCTCAGCTGCTTCCAAATTCTAACATATCACCAGATCATTGAAGCACCTTTTCTTCTGCTATGAGAGCCCACAGATCATTCCAATGAAACACTGTTTCATGTCAAGAAACACACACATATATGCAATATGCATACACAAACATCACATATAAATACATATATGTGTGTTTCTGTGTATTTCCCTTAACTCCTTGCATCTATCTATATCTACACACATGTGTGTATATATATATATATATATATACGTATATATACACATATGTGTGTGCATATATACATATATACACACATATGTGTGTGTGTGTATATATATATACATGGACAGAGTAGGAGAGAGAGAGAGAGAGAGAGAGAGATATAGATATATGTATACATATAGATATATACACATATATAGATAGATATAGATAGATATATCTATCTATCTATATCTATCTATATATCTATCTATATATGTATATATCTATATGTATACATATACACCTCTAATCCATTGAATCCCATCAAAGTGGAAAGAAGCAATATTTTTCGTGATGATAACTTACAGACAGCAAGGGGATGGCAACTTTCCCAAGGAAATCAGGGGGCTTATCTCCATCTTCATCAAATACTGTCACTTCCAAAACATCATGGATATCTTTAATAGGACTGGAACAAGAAGTACAGAGTGTGTTATACACAAACACACACAAAATGAAGTCTGTTCCTTGAAGATCTGAAAAAATTGTTTCACTAATTAAGTCTGCATTTCCTTAGAGTATAAAACTACCATTTAATTAAATTCCAAAAATTAAATCAAATTGACTGTATTCCCAAACCTTCCATCATAGAAGGTTCAGACTTCCTTATGAAAAATAAAAAAGTCAGCTTTTCCTCTATGACATTCTTTTATGTGTACATGAAGTCAGTCTGGAATTGTGAAAGAAACAAGATTAGGGGCAAGATGACTAAGTAGGGTAAGGGTGAGTTACTTCAAAGTACAAAAAAATAGTACTTTCGTAATATTAAACTGAGAAATTACTTTTTGGTGAAATTGTTTAAAATCAACAGTTGACTAAAAGATTCAGTTCCTACAGCTGAAACATAAGATATGAACAATTCCATAAGTATCTAGAAATTTTACTGTATTGACTTACAGTAGAAATCTGCCATGATGAAATAGTTCTTAAGGGGCAGTGCCCAAATAAATGGCTTGTGGCACCTGGAATTTTGCTGGTTTTAACAGCAAAGCTATTGCATTCTTCAGGCTCTTCTATTACTCTAGCCTACATAATTTCAAATCAACCCCATTCTTTCCTTTGTAAGCTTATTATATTACCAGTTCTCTTAACAGAATGGACCCCCCTTTTATTCAAACAACATAAGCACTCAATTTCTTGCCAAGTGTTATAGCTTCTAATCTAAACTAGTAAATATGAGATTATTAAACTTCCCAACTATTTGGATTAAGTTTGAGAAACATGGCAGGGATTAAAAATAGTTGGATAGTTAAAATTACCTAGAATGAAAAGAACCATCTGAAGCCAATGAGAATTCATAGATGATATGTTTTAAGAAATATGCAGTTTAAGATATTTTGACTTTACCGTATTTATTAAATTGCAGTCCCTTGAACTCCAGGCATACATATTTTAGGTTTTCTAACTCTAGAATCATTCTGGGTAGAAAGAGGCTAATGTGTAGGCTAATCTATCTATTAAATAATTTGTTTTAATGATACAGTTCAAAATAGTTATTTTCAATATTAACTATGGGCACATTTAGATGAAAACATAAAAAATTTTAAGGAATAAAAAAAATGGAGCATTTCCCTCAACAAATAGAAATTCTACTCCTTTGTCTCAACCTGTACAAAGAAACAGCACAAATTAATAGGTCAGATAAGTTAAAGTTCTCACAGGTAAAAGGCTGATTAATTTTATTGCTAATGTCCTTTACTTACAACGTAAAAACTTTGTTCCATTCAGGATTGAGGTTTTTATAAACTGTATGTGTCTGAAGTCGGTCATTTCCCAATTCTAATAAGCAAAAAGGGTCGCTCTTTCCTGAAAAGAAAATATACATGAAAGTCAAAGAGATGATACCATTACATTAAAGATAAATGACAACTTTGGAGCAATTGTTATGCTAATATAAGTTGTCAGTGCTTGAGAGGCAAAGAGTTGTAGAGAAAAGAATGCTACACTGTGTCAGGAAGACCCTGGTTCAAATCCTGCCTCAGAGCCCTTGGACAAGTTACTTAATCGATGAATCAGTTTCATCACCTGTAAAATGATGAAGTTGGATTCTTTATCCTCTAAGGTTTCCTCCCACTCTAAATATATAAACCATGATATAGAAAGGTGATCTCATAGATCTGGCAAAACCTGTGGAATCTCTATATGACTAGGATGAAAAAAGAATTGAGCAGAGCTTGATGGTAGTGGCAGATCACTGCACTAACTAATCTGTATTAACATAGGACCAAGAGAGGGACTCTATATTCATTTCTTTAAGTATATAAATGCACACTCACAAACACAACATCAGTAGGGGGCAGAGCCAAGATGGCAGAGTGAAAGCAGTAACTTGCTTGAGCTCTCTCCCAAACCGCTCCAAATACCTATAAGAAATGGCTCTAAACAAATTCTAAAGCAGCAGAACCCACAAAAAGACAGAGTAAAACAAATTTCCAGCCCAAGACAATCTGGACGATTGATCGGAAAGGTATATTGCAGAGGAGCGCAGTGTGGCATGGGTGTGCAGGCCTCAGTGAACCTGGAGCAGGCCTCAGAGAACTGAATTTCAGGCCGCTGTGGCAGCTTCCAGAACTCTCAACCCACAAACACCAAAGACAACTTAGAAGGTCAGTGAGAAAAGTCTATTTCTGCGGTGAGAGAAGAGCTAGGTCTCAGAGCCAGTTCCAGAGCACAGAGTGTGGGGAATGGGGTGGTGGCTGCGTCCTGAGCTTCCAGGCCATAGACTGAGGGGGAATCCAGTGGCTGATCAGAGGGAGATTGCAGGGATCTCTTTGCCAGTGCTGAGGCAGGAATATCTTGCTTTGCCTGGCCAGCGGTCCTGGGTCAAGGAGGAGTGCTGGCATGGTGGAGCTTGTAGTGGCTGTGGACAGGAAACCTTTCTCATAGTTCCAGGATAGAAAGGAGTGCTTGTGGTCATTAACAGACCAGAGCACGGTCCAGGAGAGGAGTAAACACCTCTCCCCTTACCATACCACCTTGCAAGAACTGAAAATTTGCAGGTCTCTACAAGTATCTCTGAAAACAGCTGTATAAACTCCCAAAGCTTGGGACAGTACATTCTCCACATTGGAAGAAGACTCTGACCTCAACAAAGATTTTAAAACTCAAGTAGTTGGCCAGGATCATGAGCAAGAAGCACAAAAAGAGTCAGACTATATTATCTTACTTTGGTAACAAAGAAGATCAAAACATACAACCAGAAGAAGACAACAAAGTCAAAGCTCCTACACCCAAAGCCTCCAAGAAAAATATGAATCAGTCTCAGGTCTTGGAAGAGCTCAAAAGGGATTTTAAGAAGCAAGTAAGAGAAGTAGAGGAAAAACTGGAAAGAGAAATGAGAATGATGCAAGAAAATCATGAAAAACAAGTCAACAGCTTGCTAAAGGAGACCCCCCCCAAAAAAAAATACTGAAGAAAATAACACCTTAAAAGTAGTCTAACCCAAATGGTAAAAGAGGTCCAAAAAGCCAATGAGGAGAAGAATGCCCTAAAAAGGAAAATTGGCCAAATGGAAAAGAAAGTGCAAAAGATTACTGAAGAATGTACTTCCTTAAAAATTAGAATAGACCAATTGGAAGCTAGTGACTTCATGAGAAATCAAGACACTGTAAAACATATCCAAAAGAATGAAAAAAATAGAAGACCATGTGAAATATGTCATTGGAAAATCAATTGACCTGGAAAATACATCCAGGAGAGAGAATCTAAAAATTATTGGACTATCTGAAAGCCATGATCAAAAAAAAAAAAGAGCCTAGACATCATCTTTCAAGAAATTATCAAGGAAAACTGCCCTGATATAGTAGAACCAGAGGGCAAAGTAGAAATTGAAAGAATCCACAGATATCCTCCTGAAAGAGATCCCCAAAGGAAAACTCCTAGGAATATTGTCGCCAAATTCCAGAGTTCCCAGGTCAAGGAGAAAATATTACAAGCTGCCAGAAAGAAACAATTCAAGTACTATGGAAACACAATCAGGATAATACAAGATTTAGCAGCTTCTACATTAAAAGATTGCAGGGCATGGAATATAATATTCCGTAGGGCAAAGAACATAGGATTACAACCAAGAATCACCTACCCAGCAAAACTGAGTATAATCCTTCAGGGTAAAAAATGGTCATTCAGTGAAATAGAGGACTTTCAAGCATTCTTGATGAAAACACCAGACCTGAATAGAAAATTTGACTTTCAAATACAGGACTCAAGTGGAACACGAAGAGGTAAACAGGAAAAAGAAATTATAAGAGATTTATTAAGGTTGAAATGTTTACATTACTGCATGGAAAGATGATATTTATAACTCATGAGACCTTTGTCAGTATCAGGGTAGTTGGAGGAAAAAAAATATACGTATGTATAGATAGATAGATAGATAGATAGGCAGGCAGGCACAGGGTGAGTTGAAGATTAAGGGGTCGTATCTGGAGAATAAAATTAAGGGATGAGAGAGGATTATACTAGGAGAAGAAGAAAGGGAGAGGTAGAATGGGGTAAATCATCTCACACACACAAAAAAAACAAAAAAGTGTCTTGCAGTGGAGGGGAAACGGGGCAAGGTGAAAGGGAATGATTGAATCTTATTCTCATAGGATTTGGCTTATGGAGGAAATAACATACGCATTCAATGGGGTATGAAAATCTGTCTTACCATACAGGAAAATAGGGGGAGAAGGGGACAAGAGAGCAGGGGGATGATAGAGAGGAGGGTAGATTGGGAAAGGGGATAATCAGAAGCAAATACTTCTGAGGAGGGACAGAATCAAAAGAAAGAACAAGATAAATGGGAGGGCAGGATAGGATTAAGGGAAATGGAATTAGTTTTTTACAACATGTCTACCATGGAAGTGTTTTGCATAACTGCACACGTATAACTTATATTAAGTTGCTTGCCTTTACAGTGAAGTTGTGTGGGGAGGGAGGAAGGGAGAAAATTTGAAACCTAAAGTTTTAAAAACATATGTTTAAAAAAATGTTTTCACATGCTACTGGGAAATAAGAAATACAGCAAATGGGGTACAGAAGTCTGTCCTGCCCTACAGGAAAATAGAAGGGGAAGGGGATAAGAGAAGGAGGGGAGAGATAGAAGAGAGGACAAACTAAGGGAAGGAATATTCAGAATGCATGCCATCTTGGGGTGGGGGGAGGGGGGAGATGAGTGAAAATTTGGAACTCAAAATCTTGTGGAAGTAAATATTGAAACTAAAAATAAATAAATTTATATAAAAAACCCCACAACATCAGAAGGAACAGGAGGCAGATATTACTAATTTCAGGATATGTTATGGTATATGTTACAATCCACTTCTGCATTTTGTCTATGGGTAAAATGAAAAGAAGATATGCCTTTGACTCTTCCCCAGTTTTTCCCATTCTCTTCCCCTGGCCTTACCTTGCTAGATTGAAAACAACCAAAGTAGAACCCGAGAATGAGTAAAGGGAGATGCAAGTATCCTTACTTTCAATCTGGACCTAAGTTATTATTAGGGAAAGAATTGATGCTTCTATAATGAGTTCATGTAACATTCCCAAAATGCCTAATTTGGTTGGCCTACATCCTTATAGGCACTTCACAGAACAGAGAAGAATTAATTAATAGGGAGCAGGACAACAGATGCTTTTCCAGCAAATGGCTAAGGAGGACCTAGGGCCAGGGTTTAATGCTGACTTCATTGAGCCCTTTTAACCCAGTGGTCCAAACATTCGAGTCACTCTATGTATCCCCAATTTATTTAGTGACTAAGAACTCTGAGGAATTACATCAATAAAATCACCGACACACAGAAACCCCATATAAAAGAGCAGAGGAAGAGGAAGGAGATGGACAGACGTAGGACTAGGGTCAGTGATCAGTTGATTCAATTGATTAGAGGACTGCAAATGGGCCATGTCTGAAAAGAATACTTAACCCAGTGCTATCCAGAATAGCAGTAGTCAGGAATCAGACTTTATGTTCAGATAACTACATAACTAACCCAAGTTCTCAACAAGTTCCCACTTCTGCAAAGACTTTTGTTTTGTTTTTTCTTCTCTGTGAAAGAACAGCTTTCATGTTTATCAAGAGAGCAAGCACTCTACAATTTCGTGCCCAGGTATACCAAGCCTTAGTGATTTGTTTCTTTAACCAAAACTACATCATCTATTTAACAATTTGTCAGACTATTAGTGGGTGTCAGTGCTTAACCTCCAGAGGCACCAACATGACATGCGATCAGCACTTGCTCTAGTGAAACAGACTGACACTTTTAATGAAAGCCCTGGGGTTACTCTACAGCAGGGCAAATTCTCTGGCCTGTCCTTTTGAGACACAGGTTCTCTGTTTGGCACTGAAGCTGTGGAGCAAGCATACTTCTGGCTGTCCCAGCTAATGAGGAACAGACTTCTACTCAGAAATTGCGAACTTTCCCAATATGTCTCTGAGGAACTCCCTGAACGAACTCTTAGATTATAATTCAGTCAAAGCTCATTAAAATGCTTCATTACAGTATAAACAAGGAAGGTAGTGTACCAGGAAATTAAAAAAAAACTAACCACCACATAATCCCATTTAGATATACTTTACAATTTAGTCCATCTTCCACAAAAGAACCCACTGATATACCAGAAGCTTTAATCAACAAATACATACACATTTTAAAAAAAGATGCGTCTTTAATAAATAAAAAGTATTAGAAAGTAACAGCACGTGGCATAAGGAAGGAAGGGTTTGCCATCAGCCTCTATAAATTTTTGAGCACTACACCCTAACGCAAAAGTATATTTATTTCAAATTTTTTTTTCTTCATCCTAGAGATCTTCCAGGCAAA